CTATCGGGAAAACGCTCAAGTTTGTCCTCGATTAGTTCCTGTTTTCATCGATAGATGGCGTTATTTTCGTGGTATTTACCGACGCCGGATGGTAAATTACCATCATGTCGGTAAAAACAGTATAAATGGCGCCATCTAACGATGGCAGCTGGAACTAATAGAGGACAAACTTGAGCGTTTTCCCGATAGAGGCGCTGACCACACTCCGAAAATTAGTTCGGTACATTCACCGATAGATGGCCATTAGGTTGACTCTAGAACAGGCTGAATTAATTAATTCGAATTAGTTATGCGATCATTAAGAATAATTTCTTGTGATATTTTCCACAGGACTTAAATTTCTAAAAATGATCGAATTCCCAAGACTCGAGCGACGAGTAGTACTGAAGATAACTTACGCAGGGGCACAAGTTTCACGAAGATGAACTCGAGGAATATAACTATCGAGAACCTGGTGTCGTACCAGAGTAAAAGACCGATTACGATCACGATCACCTCGAGAACGACGTTCTTGAAGAAGCTCAAGATCAGCCAGGGTAGTAGTAATTTCGGTCGGCTCCATGTTACTATCGGATAAATGTTCGTCACGTACGTTAACGTGTAAACGTGGGCGATCACGATACGCGTTATAACGATCCATGACAACACTGAAAACGAATTAGAAAAAAAAAATGAAATCAACGTAAAGATTTTTCTTTCGGCTGACGATTAATTCAGCATCGTAGTCGTAAAACTGAATAACGTGGAAAATGGAAGGAACTCACCGGTTTTAATCGTGTCCTCGCCGATGACATCAATAATTATCGCACTTTGCGACAAAGATAAATTCCAAATTCTCTCGAGCTCGTTCGTCCATTTTAACGGACTCCAGTCCAGCGTGCTGTTTACCTTCGGGACAAACATTGTAATTAGCGCTTTTATCATTGGAAAAACAAATAATTTCGATAGAATTACGACTCGGATGTGCATTCTTGTCTTTCGTCGTTCGAAATGACGTTTATTTATTCAAAAATTATTTCGCAAATCAAGTACAAGGGTAGAAGAAAATTGGAAACGAGTCGACCTCTTTGATAGAGAAAGGTTGGCAACCCTATCTGCGACGCGCTGGGAATTCCCTCGAACGAAATATCGATCGAATTGAAGGTTGTGGAAGGTTAGAAACGGAAAGGTCACGCGAAAACGTAAAAATCGAAGTAAAAGATGGAATTAAAAGGGATTGTATTTCATTGGAGGTTCATACCAGGCCTAGAAGGTTCATTATCAACAGTTCGGTTCGAAAGGAGAGACCAAAGAAGTGTCCAAGGAAGCTAGGCATCAGGAACACGAAACTTTCGAAGGAGCCGGTAAACCAGCGAGTCGTCGCTTCCACCGAAGCCGATCATCGTCGACCCGGTCCGTCGATCGAAGAGTTCTCTATCACCGAAACCTCCGCTTCAAGGATCACTCAGAATTTTCACAAGGACGTTGCCTGTCCACCGACGCGTTAATTTGGACGCGTTCTTCGACCACGTTTTCCCGTGCCAAACGCTTCTAATAAAACAGTTGAATGCTGTTGAAGGCGGACGGTTGGAAACAAGCGATGTTAGGATGCGTTCAGGCTTCAACAACCGTTACATATCACCTTTCGAGCCGTAAAATGCTGATATTTAATCATTTTTCGCGAAAGGAACAACGTAGATAGACAATAATAATAATAATAATAATAATAATAATAATAATAATAATAATAATAACAACAGATGTTTCTCTAAAATCAAAATTGAACTGCGATAGCATGTACAGAATATTCGGTGATGTTTCAAATTCACCGAAATCGATAAATTAGAACGATGAAGTCATTTCAAATCTGATCTTATGAAATTTGAAAAGAGACTTTATACCAAAAATCAGCCATATTAAAATGACCTGACCTCATTTTTTCTTTTTAATTCAAAATACGCCCACTAGTCATCGTTCTAACGACCGATAGCCACCAGACGACGATTTTCGTGATCTTCCGGTGTTATACTTTCATAAAAAAAGAAACGGTTCTTTTCATTTCAAAACGACTCAGCAGAAGTTCGTGACCGACTGTTGGTCGTAAACTTGTCATTCATTCATTCATTTATTACTATTGACTCAGAACTCCATTGTGGACGTTTCGTAGGCGTTTATATATCTCGTATCCTATCTCCATGATCTTCACGTTTCGTTACACGCAAGTGCACGTAAGCTTATCAGTGATTGCGATAAGAGCCATCTAGCGGAGCGCTGTAGCGATTACTGATTAGCGCACGAACTGAATTCGGGCGGTTTCGGATAATAGAAAAGGAAGGCGAACATCGAGCTTCTTCCTATAGATATCGACCAATCTTGACACAGCAGCTGAAGTCGGAGACCTGGCGCTGAACAAAGATATGTTGTTGATACAGCACAGTCGGTGTCGGTACAGTGTCTGACCATTTAACGTTGCATCTGGGTCGCGGTTATCCTAAGCGTAATTTAGTTCGTTTAGTAAGTTTAGTAATACATCGGTATACCATCGGCCCCGGGAATTCCCTCGGGTGAGAGCTGTTCATTCCCGAAGAGGGCCGTTGTTTTCATCCGTTCGTCGTTTGGCAAAAAAGTGAGTAAATCGAACGAATAACGTGGGAGTGAACTTGAAAATTTGACGCGATGACTCGTGAGAAAATATATCGAAACTTTTTCAATCTCGACGGAATTTATTGGATGCATCGTTTCCAAACAAATATCGAAAACTATTTCTTAACGAGAGTGAATAATCACGGAAGTGGAAGTGGTTTACACTGCGTGCCGGTTGATATAAAATTCAGTCGAATATAAATCTACAATTTTAAATTTGTGTATTCTGAGATACGTACTAAAGTAAGGGACCTTTTATATTTCGCCGCGTCGTAATAACTGCTCGGTGAATTATTAAGTAATATTTAAAGGTCGGAAAATAATTCCCGTGTCACGCGTTATTATTCTTCGAGAGAACCGTAGCCGGGTCATATCTATATTTATATTTTCCTTGTTGTTCGGGGAACCAGCTAATCCTGTTGGCGATTAGTGTCCGATTTCGCGTAATCTGTCATTGTATCCGTTCGTTCCTTACAATTAGATAACCGTAGCGAATTCGGCACACAAATTCACGTGTCTCAACGCTATCGATTGCTCTCGAGAACGAGTAACGCTATGGCGGACGCTACGATTCGAAAAAATATTTAAAATTGTTTAAATTACGATACTGCAACGAATGATAGAGGAATAATATGAAAGAAGAAAAAGCCTTAATTACTTATTTTCTTGGCAGAAGTCTATAAAATAAAAAAAACACGTAATCCAACGTTCCAAGAATTTGCACGCGCAAGCGAGTCTTCTGTTTTCCTCGTCTGTCTCGTGCGTAGCGTACATAAATATTACATTTCGCCTATTTACTGATAAATATTATTTGCAAAAGAGTTTTGTTATCGTACGATACGAAATGGAATGTCGAATTGACATTTCATCTCCTTTTCGCATTTATCCGAGCAGCTCAGTTTCAGGATCTCCGCCAATATCGACCGTTCGAATTAATACGAGTATACGCGTTACCGCGTTAAAATTAGATTTTCGATAAATTGTGCGATATTTTCTCTCCTCTTCGTCCAGTAAACTTTCTCAAACTATAAACGTCTCATTTTTATCGAACGATCCTGCGTGTTGTCGCATTCTAATCACGGATCGAATTAGACGATATGGATTACTCAGAGATAGAATTCGTAGAGCTGGACGTGCGTAGTTTAAGAATTTAAAGAACCGCGCGTAAAATACACGTGACCGTGTTTATCGAACCCGCTTCGCAGAAAACGTGCTTGAGAACACGCATTGTTTTTGTCTGATGACGTAACACGTATTTTCCTAGCACGAAGAGAAAAATGCATACCGTCGTACCCGGATATTGTTTCATTAAAGCACACTTCACTTTCGTTAATACAACGATAAAGTTATTTTGCAACATATTAACATTTGCCTCGACTTAAAGTTCGTATCGTATTATAAACAAAACGAAGTAAATGCTATTGTGTTCATAAAAAAAAAAAAAAAAAAAAAATTATTTCATACTGTTGAGTCTTTGACGAGAAATCTTAAATTTCTAATATAAATCGTGACATGAAATCACATTCTTTTATTTATTCCTGAAATTTTCATTGTCCCTTTCTCTTGTCTCCAGAATCATTTTCGTCTACCGATTTCAAACGACCCAAACCTCGAGAAAGAAAAGAAAACTCGACATCTATTTTCTGACGACTTTTTCACGTATTAACGTAACGTGTTGCAGAATGGAGGTCCAGTCGTGTTGCGGTTGTTTCTCGCTGAAACCGGGAACGATCACCGTCGGGGTACTTTGCACGGTGAGCAAATCAAATATTGCAATTTATGAATCATTCTACCAATCTAATCGAATTTCAGAGTTATAACCTGATTGGTTATCGACAATAAAAACTAAAAACATATATATATAATCGTCCCAAGCATATTTAGTAGAACGTACTCCTTTACATATTTTCTTGGAAAACGACTATCCTAAACTTACTCAGACAGTATTTCTGTGTAGACAATATATGCATTAACAATTTCATCTCATTCCCCATTACGAGATGGAGATTATATAAAATCCCCAATTATCATGGAAGCCTCTCTTACTCCCTTCCGGTACTCCCTTCATTTCGGACGGTGTAATTATTGTTTTGGTTTATTTGCATTTAGATCTTGTCGATCGTTGCAATTGTGATGGATTATTCCCAAATCGTGGGCCGCGAGCATTTGCCTAACGCCAGCTGGTACTTTATGATGATAAGTTCCGGCCTTAGTGTGCTGTTCTCGATCTTGCTGATAGTCGCCGTTCTTACGGTAAGATTCTTGCTAGTTCAACTCTAATGTTGGAATATCTACCGCGTTACATTATTCGAAAGATATCGCTTATCGTCTATATCTCCGCCAAAGGTTGAACATGATTTTCATATGAAGCGTGTTAGTAATTGTTTCTTTCGCACAGAATGTAGTAAAATATATCGCAAACTTTTCATTCTATCTTTTCAGGACCACGTATTTCTGTTGTTACCATGGCTGTTTCTGTACATATGGATAATTGTTGGCACGATCATTGGATTCGTCTACATGATCACTCTGTACTCTGTAAATGGTTACATATGGTTTGGCCTAATTTTGTTTGCCTTTGGTGTCGCACTTATCAGTGAGTATACCTTTTTCTGTTGTCCTTCAATTCTGATCTACGGAAAATAACGGAGATTCGAACCCGCGATCTTCCTTATCCACAGTCGACTGCCTTACCTACATGACCAATCCCGTACCCCACGTTTCGTGTTTCTCCTTGTCACGTAAAATTCTATTATTTTGTGAAAACTCGATGTAACATTCGACATCTCTTTACAGTGATCATGATGTACGCGTGGGTAATCGTGTACAGCTACTTACGAAAAGTGAAACGCGACAGGATGACTGGCAAGATCCTGATGCCTTACGACAACCAATTCGCGTGTCATAACCCTTAAATATTCACGGAGACGAATCGATTACCTGGCGTGAAGAAGATCGCGATCAACGAATCCTGCCGTCATCGAGTGACTAATTGATCGTAGAGTTTAGTTGCTAAATTGAATTACCGCAGTCACGGAAAAATACGAAACACTCTCGTCTTCCATCGACGGTATTTCCATTGAATATAATCGTTCTTGTAATCGTGAAAGATAAATTCGATTATTATTTCAGTCATCGTTGTCATCGTCGCTGTTATTGTTATCTCTTCAAGTACAGAAATGTGTTTTTCGAAGTTTACTAGCTAATAAATGAAATGTGAATGACGATGATAATACAGAAACCAAAGTAAAGACAGGTCAAAATACATGATCTACATTTATATGTATTTTTTATACAACTTTTATATAAAGCGTTAACATTTATAATAAACATACGACGCTTATTATTGTCCCATGACAAGTTTAGTTATACTAAAGGTACATTATACATACTTTCGTATTCGTTTCATAGCTTGTTGATTTTTATTTTACTATTAAGTCGTTCGTGCGCTAATGTATTACATTAATATACATTTTATACAAAATGGAGAGTGTCGTTATTAAATATTAGATGCACCTGCGAGATACGCGTAGAGACACAAGTGTACGCCGGGTTGCGTGACTTCAGGGGCAAAGAACCAATCCTCGTTATTCCAAAGAATATTTCTACTCGCTGTTATTCAAATGATATTTTCTCTCAGCAGATAATTGTATTAAAATCACGAGCGGTATATAACTATAATATTATTAAGTCTCGGGTGAAAAATAAAGATTTATAACTCTGTAACTGTACGTCACGATGACACGATTGAATCCCGCTCGAATAATGTAAATTTATCAGCGTGTATCTTTAGCCGACACGATTGATTTCGGTGTAAATAGAATATATACGCGTTTCTTGAATGGAATTGCGGATGTCACGTTTAACCTGCAGTTAATTCTTTCGTTTCTTTTTTAATGTTTCCTGTTGGAGTTTGTTACCTATGAAGTTTTTACTTCGTAAAAAATTTGGTGTTAATCAGAATTGGACAAAATCATGGACTGCGATTACTCCAAGTTCCTTCTTTGAAAAATGGTGAAAAGAGGAAACGAGAGAAACAATTCCAGCAGACTTCGGGTAATCGTGGTCCAGAGTTCTCAACTCTGTGTTAATAGTTCGAGTAGCAATGGACGACAAATCGTAAGCGAGTAAGTCGGGAGATGCCGATCGGCGCTGTTCGCCACGACGTCGACGATGGTGTGCGTCTGTTCGCCACCGGTGTAGGTGTACGCGTGGTAGGTCGTAGGTGTACAGCTTCGCGGTTTGGCGCGGCAGCGTACTGTTCTTGGCACAGTTTCTGACCATCTCCTATTGCGAGCGGACCGCGCTTGACCTAAGCGTAATTTCGTTACGCCTCGCGGGACCAAAGAGTTTCTCTCGGACCTTTGCCTGTCTCTCTTTGTCTCATCCTCGCGTCACCTCGGGCTTTTTCCTTAGTGCGAATCGTCTCCTCATCCTGCGAGGACCTTCGCTTTCGTCGGTTTCGTCGCTCGGAGCAAAGTGAGTAGATCCACACGAACAAAACCTTCGATTCATCGTGACCAGCGCAAAACCCGTGGAAAAGAAACGGAAAATTGTGGAATAAAAATTCAAAGTGATCGTTGGATAGTTCCTGTGGCGACTCGTGTCCGGATCGATTGTTGTCAATGGCGAATACGGTGGGAACCGAAAGATACGAAACGAAATTTCGCGCCGGTTCTCGCGGTCCTTTAGCAGAGCCCGCGAGAAACGAATCGTCGCCGGTAATTAATTTTTGGATTAACCTTAATTCAGTCCATTCCGTTTTTCATAAGAATAATTCGAAACCGTGGAAATGCGTCCAAGTATGCAAGCTTTCGATACCATGTTTCAAGAAATTTTAATGGATCACGAGGTCGACGCGTGCATTGCAATAACGAATCAACCAGCAATATTGTCTCTTTTGCAATCGCCGCGAAAGCAAACATCGCGTGTTTTCGCTTTGCTCGTAAATTCTTACAGCGTTGTCGTCGTCGAGGAGTATTTCACCGTGGCATTTTTCTGCCGACTTCTCTCGAATCGTCTCGTACGAAGGGACGAGCGTTGAGCGATTGACGGTAATCACGGTGAATTGTATAATCGGTCCGTGTTTCTTCGATTCCGCCTCGTGTAACGAAAATGCATAGTAACGACGCGAGGACGGGCGATAAAAATGGAACCGTGCGTTTATCATAAACGATGCACGCCGCGCAAATAGCGTTAAAAATTCCGTCGCCGACTCTTGGGAGAGATAACCGCCGGTTACTTTATTAACAAGCTCCTAGTCGTATTGCTACGAGCCGAACCAAAGTTTCTTCTAGGTTTACGCTGGGATAGCGAAACACTATTTCTGTGTACTTTACAGTTTCAATAGCCAAACTTGCAAATCACGAGTTAGGCTCGCGATGAAAATTTTGGGCCAAACTTGAAAATCACGAGTCAGGCTCGTTGTTATCCACCCTGAAACTACTACGTACGAAAAAATCGCTTGTTGCACGCATGTCTGGCATCTAGCCAAGTGACCCAAGGTTTAAACCTGACGGTACGGAGGAAACGTGGAGGAACAGGAGGATAAACCACGCTTCCATTCGAAATATCGTAGAGTAATTATCGTGTTAAATTGAAATCACTCGACACGGTAGGATTTCTTTCGTAGCGTATCTAACAGTTCGAAACAGTCTTCGCGAAATTTGCAAGGTACTCGGTCGCGTAAGGATCGAACGCGTTCATTGTTTGCTCGTCGAGACTAATAAACGCGCTAATTATCTTAATCGAAGCAAGCACGAGATCGTATCATTACTTCTTCCTGTCGTTTAAAGAGAACTGTTCCCAGTAGGATGTACCGCAACAGATGCACGTTGTACGAATTGCAATAACGTTTCCGACGTTTCGCTATCTATTTTCTCGATTCTGTTCGCGTTATCGCCGCGAGTATCGTCGAGCGCGTAAAGAAACGGTTGCGAAAGAAACGCTGGATGAACCCAGATAACCGAAATCGCGGTTCGCGAGCAGAAAAAAAAAAAAAGATAGAAGCGCGAGGTCGGGACCAAGAAACGACGTCGTTTCGCGAGCGGTCCGCGAAAATTGTGGACAGCGAAGGCAGAAAGGATGGACGTCGGCGTCGTAACGCCGCGAAAAGTAAAAGGAGGCCAGGCTGAACCATGAAGATACATATAAAGTACACTGCGAACCGCTTCGTCGGCGGAGACGTGCGTCATGAACCGTGCAGGCAGCGTGGATCACGTGGATCTCTCGATCGACCACGCTTTGCGATCCGCGCAGGAGAGCCGAGAATTTTAATTGATCTTCCTCGAGTCGCGATCGAGGAATTCTCTTTTCGTTCCTATGATCCGACGAGTATTTATTTGGTATTTCTTTCGCGGAAGGATTCTGGATCGAAGATGAAAACCTCGCCGAGTTGTCGGTTCGCCCACTCCTCACCGCTGATTAATGGCTGTATCGGGGACAAGAATAATTCAACAGACACCGTAAACACGCGTGTACAAGTGGACTTCTATTTTTCCATTCGATGTTTACAACACGTGGCGCGCCTAAATTTAACGCGGATCCCGAGCATCTCGTTGCACGTCGACTCGAGTTCCATCGGGACCGTCGGGACAACTTTTTCTTTCTTCTCCGATCGAACTGTTACGAATGGTAGATTCTTAACTCTTTACGACGCCAGATCTATAATTGACTTCCTATTCACAGCGAGCTTCCACAGTTGCGTTTGGAGGACGAGCCGTTGGATTGTATTCTCTAAACTGTACACACTTTTGAGAGTTACGTTAGTCTCGAGGCTTCCTGTACAGTTTTCAAAGTCCACGAGGCTCTCAATTCGAGAAGAGGCGCGGTTTCTTCGTGAAATCTTCTCGATCGGGATATTAACAGAAACGGGAAAAGATGAGAATCAGTGGGAACCGGCGAGACGGGAAAAGAAGATCGCCATGAGATGAGAGGATACGCGTGACCGTGACTGTCATGGCGAGCGCGACGCGTCGCCGAGGTCTGACAGGCCCCATAAGGAAACACATCTCGATCGGTTGTGCGATTTCTCCCGTTCGCCTCGTGGAAAAAGGAAACGCTTTGCCAACGACTTCGAAGAACCAGTCGGTTGACACTGCCACCATTCTCTTGTCGCTTCTATTCGATCCGTCGAGTCTCTTCAAATCGAAGAATCGATTCGCGATTGTCTGACAAGGAAAAGAAACGCGTACGATATTTCTACGTTTCACGCTTTACAGCTGATCGTTTTTAATTAGCATTGCCAGGAAAGCGATCAGTCGAACGTACGATCCGGTAGGATCGCGTGGCCGACCATGGTCAGTGGTCGATGCTGGTCAGTGTCAGACAAACTCACTTCCTCCGTTTCTATCGCGCGAGCCTTGTAAGGCTGCGGGTGACACAACATCCAATTGCGGAAGATGAATTAACCGTGACCACGATCGGCGTTAAACCTCGCTCCAGATCTCGCTTTTCACCCGTGGCTCTCATTAATTACTGACCGCTTAATTGCTGTTCGCCGGATTAACGAGCACGTTGTTCACGCGAAAAAACCCGTGACCACTGGAAAAACGCAAACGATTTACCACCTATTAAATACAATGCGCGCGTACTCTAAACGCTACGTGAAAACTTTCAGTTCGAATTTAAAACATCATTTTCTGCGAATAATTCCGTTTCAGTCTCTTTCGTTAATCTTGGTAACGACTATTTTGTTTTCTTAAACGTAACAGTTTCTCTTGGCAAGGGGTCGCGGAATGGATACATGCATTTCGCGAGGATGAGTTCTCCTTTCGTTTGGAGACCGGATACGTCCGTCCACGGGAATAATAAACGTAGAAAGGAAGGTCAGCGACGTCGAGGACAGAGACCGTCGAAGGAACAAAAATAGAAGCTGTGCCACCTATGCTAACGGCCCATATTCCCTCTATTCCCAGCGTGTCGCGCATTAAACTTCGCCGTTTAAATGCCGCGCATCCGATTATGCGAACGCCGCGCCGGATCGCGTCATCACCGGTTCCCCTTGATTTCTACCTGGTTTCGCGATTCCTGTCTTGTTTCGCGGCTGCTCGAGTCATTTCAGATACCGTTTGATTGCTAATTCATCGAATTAGAACACATCGAATTAAAATCCATCGATTTCACTTGAGAAGGCAATTAGTCGATTAACTCCCGCTCCCGCTCAATCGCGCTGCATTCTTGCTAATTAAAAAATAAAGCACGCGTTATAAATACATTAATTGCCTCAATTCCCATACGTAATCGTCGCGGTAACCAATATTCTCTGTTTTGCAACACCGCCGGGTGATTAATTTTCTTAAACGGAAAATCTATTCGCACTTCTCTCGACGTTCGATCGTTAGCAGTGAAATCACGTTCCAAAGTCACGGGACGATCTCATCCGCGTGCGAATAATTTCTAAAAAAAATTTCCTCGTCGCGTTCAGCCTGAAATAAAAGTGAGTAAGGTGAACGAAGTTGACGTCAGCCTGGACGTAACGTTGCATTATTTAAATGCGACAATTACGCCACGTCGACGAGCAAACATCTCTACGGCGTCGATCCGAAGTGAAAGCGTTTGCTATTCCGACTAATTTCCCTCGAATAGAATAGCCTCTGGATTTCGTAAATAAACAAGCTCGGAACGTGGACAGCGAGCTATCGATCGTAGATCGGTTTTAAAAATACGCGAGCACTCGGACTCTAATTCTACGCGTGATCTAAATTCCGTTCAAGTTCTTCGTGCAACGAGGAAGGAAGGAGAAATTAATAGCGGCGATTGATTGGTGTCTGTGTGTGTGTGTGTGTGTCTTTTTAATTGTCGTTCATAGACTCTATGTGAGAAAAAGGAACACGAGAGTATTGTAAAAAGACGATTTCCTTTCAACATTTCAAGGTAGCATAATTTGTCGCAGGATGGAGCTCGAGTCGTGTTGCAGATGCTACTCGCTGAAGGCGGGGACGATATTCACCGGGATTCTTGGCATCGTGAGTAAATCGATTAGTATCAGAAGGACCGAAATCTGATGAAAATGTCTTCGACTTGGAAATTTTTTCATGAGAATGACGGAAATTATTTTGTTGATTAGTATTTAAGATATCTTTAATAAATAAAGCTTTATTTGCACCTCAGATCCTCTCGATCATCTCGTTGATCCTGATCTTCACTCTGAACGTCGAATGGAAGACGATACTGATCGACTGGCTGGACCAGAGCATCGTCAAGATCATTTTCGCGATAAACCTCTGCATGACGATCGTGATCTCGACGTTGCTCGTGATTGGCGTTTTCAAGGTGAGATTCCTCGATTTAGCCTGGCTCGATCAACTACGGCGTGCATCTCCAGTTAGGGAGAATCGCTAGGAATAGGAGAAGGAAGAATATTAAGAAAGTTCGTTCTTCCAGAAAAACACATTTATGATGCTACCGTGGGTGGTTCTGGGCATAATCCTGGCGGTCGGCTTGCTGGTCAGCGTCCTGTACACGTCCATCATGTTCTTCGTGAATCACGAATTCGTAAATGGCGTGCTCTGGCTCGTCGTTGGTTTCGTAGCCGTTGGTGAGTAACGCTACGCTGTTTTTTGTCCGGAAAAAATGCCAGTGTTGATTACGATTGTACAACAACTTGAAAATTAACCTTTGCCTACGCAACCAATCCCGTAACCTACGTTTCGTGTTCTCGTTTGACTCCTTATTGTTGGCTACGGGAGTAAAATTTCTATAGCGAGTTAAAATTCTATTCCCTTATGAAAAATCGATGCTTGTTTGCAGTGATCTACACGTACCTGTGGTTGGTGGTGTACAGCTACTTCCAGCAGCTGAGGTACGACAAGTTGAACGGAAGGATCGACCCGTACGGAAGGCCGTACAATTATCGACGACCTTGAAGAGAGCGGAAATGAAACGATGACCCCGCGAGAATTACCACAGGAAACGTGTTGCTCTCTCAAAGGGATTAGACTGTTCTTCAAACGGAAGGATCGACTCGTGAAACGGTCTAATTGCTTCGAGAGAGGAGTTCGCTTTAAAGTTCAATTAGCGCTACCGCGCGTCTTGTATCGTATTCATGGCACCGAGATGCTCCCTCGAGTGGTAATCGAAAGTTTCGCGCGACTTTGGTGATCGCGACGAGCTTTTATTTCTGTGGTAACTTATAAAATATATTTTACATGCAGTTGGGCAAATCACGCATTTTTGGCGCGAACGATCACCTGCGCGTCCATGTTGCACACCCACGCGGCGCCTGTGTAACGATGATGATTGACGAAGTAACAAGGAATTTCTATCGAACAATTCGTCTCGTTAGTCGTCTACCATTTCAAACCAATAAACTGTGTTCGTATAAAGTACAAAGGGATCGCCGTTCGAGGGTGCAAAACGACTACAGTAGTTATTTTAAACGGAGGAAGGAACGATCTGGCGAAGAACGAAAGGCTTTCGTCGAAAGCGCGCAAGCTCTCGCGAAAGCAACGCTGTTCTTCGGGAAACCGACACTGCCGGCGCGATATCAAAAAGGCGAGAGGCTGATTCCTCCGCGGCACGGAAATAGATTCCGTTTTCAAGGATAACGAAAATGTTAACGCGTATGCAAAAATATACGCGTTGCCTCACCGCGCCGAGAACCAGTCTCTCCTACGCAAGGTTAACGACTGACTTATTTATTTTCCAAGTTTCGTTTCCCGCCTCCCGCTCGTACTTTGTAACGCGTATTCTACGATTTGTAATTATTGTTACAACGCGAGAAATAAATTATTCTGTTTTTAACGCGTTTCCTTTTTTCTTCTTGCGCGACCTCGGTATATAAAAGGGTACAGCCGGGTAAGGGTATGAAATGTGTCATAAGCAAAAAATCTGTTGTCTTATCGAAAGATTTCAGACACATCCACGTCAATTTATTCATCGACTTATTTCAACCAGAAGGAGACTACAGTAAACCTTCCTCGAACGCGTTCTCCACATTTTCACGGATAAACAAAGAAAGGGATGCAGCAGCAAGACCAGTGGCGTGGCTGTCGCAACCGAAGTCTGTTCTCGACGAGGTCCTACGGACTACGCGAGACGGATTGTCTTTCGATCTGTGAAAGAAGAATTTTTTCATACGGAATTATGAAAATTCAGATACAGAATGTAGAGGAAGGTTGTGTTTCGAAAATACAGACCCAAAGGAACTGTAGCAACCGCTGGGACGCGACCAGTCCAACAATAAGCGCTCGTAATGTTTGCCAGTGAACTCGAGGAACCCTTCCATTCCGCACAGAAGTACTTAAAGTACAAAAAAAGGTCTTCATTGTTTTGTTTCAGAGGCATGTAATATGGTTTAAATGTTATTTTTTTCTTTTCCTTTTTTGTGATTAGTAAATGATACGATGCCATCTAATTCCTTATTACGAATCAACAGATACAAATCCCTTCTGAACAACTACTTTCTGCTCGCCGAAATCTACAGGATTACGTAAGAAAAACTAAACAATTTTTGGTCCCCCAAAGTAAAGTTTAACCAAAGTTCTACCTCATGTAAAAGTTACAAGGAATAAATTATCTGTCTATCTATCTAATTTATATTCCTCTACCTTGTTCCATCATTAAATCTGGCGTGGTGTAAGGGAATCCAGACCTCTCGGCGTCGACCAGATCTTGCATAATGGCAGAACAATATGAAACTCTCAAATCGGAGGGTATACCATGTGAGCATCCCATCTGAAATAATTTATCATTAGAGGGATTGCAATCGAACAAGCGAATAGTTGGCTAATTTTAACCTACTGATATACAAAGAACGTATGACTGGCGTCTTTATCGCGTACGAACCGCTTTGGCGACTTGAATGATCAACAGCCTGTGAGCGAGGGGGTATCCCCTGGTGGAGTCGCGTCTCTTCAATATCTCGACGCATGTTTCGGGGATTTCGCAGCGTGGATTTAACTCATTCCGAACGATTTCACCGAGACATCGATCGCTCTCCTCCTCTTTCGGCGTTCCTTGCATTATCAGATCGCGAACGTCTCGGTAAGTCAATCCAGGCGTTGGACCCTTCTTCTCCAGGACGCCATTTTGCCAGGATATCGGTCGCATCCACAGAGCGGGGTTGTTCAGCATTTGGTGCACTGGAATTAACGAGTCGATTTTTATTTACCAAGGGACGGCCGCGCTCTTTTTCAAATATAGTCACCCACGTAGTCGAACGTCCTTGGTTTCTGGAATAACGTGATCGATCAGGTACCGTCGAGTCGAGTCGCAGATCTGCAAAATTTCTGATAGCGTTTTCCACTGGTCCTGTCCAAGGTATCGTGCGTTTTTGTGCAGTAGCGTGGCAGCTATGTTGGCTGTTGCAACAATGTACGATCTTTAATTATTTTCTTGCAATTTTTAAATCAGTGTACATAGTATCCGCGTGTAGATAAAGCGATCGTTTGCGGTTCCGAGGGTCGTGGGTTCGAATCTCCGTGCCCCCCCTTACTTTTCGTTTAGACTCTTGCATTAATTTCTATTAATTAGATTTTAATAATATTTACCTTCGACGATAGTGATGGAGAAAGTGACGTCGGCGTTCATTTCGTGGGGCCTTCGATGAACGTAATCGACTACCTTGTAGAGCCCTGCTAGCTTCTCCTCTGCGATTATATTAAACGCTTTTTAATTTAGAACTCATTGTCAGAGTAAAAGTAAAATTCGATCTCACCAAAGTCCTCGAGAATTAATTTCCCGCAGGTCAGCGGCGAAAAGCTGCAGATGAAGAGGATCGTCCATACGCTGTTGAATCCTCGAAGCCGGTCCATGGTGTTCTTGTACGATCCTGAAGAAGTCAGTCCTCGACTTTGTCTTTATAGTGGTAGCTCCCACCATTGACCACGCGCAGTACGCGAATTTAACGAAATTGATAGGGACACAGAGCTCCTTCCACCAGTTTGTCTTCATCGAGGAACGGACACGTTGAATCCTGGCCCATCGATCTTTCGAGAGGAAATTTCTTGAACGGAAATTGAATCCACTCGAGGGAGTTTGATTTAACGTTCGAGGAGAAACAATTCCTGCAGGTCGAAGAGCAAACGTATCAGAAATCGACGCGTTGAGAAAGGGTAGGACTTATACTAAATTGATGCACAGAAATATTATAGTTCGACAGACTATGTATCCTTGCAAGTAAAATGTTCTAAAATTAAGTTCTGTACCCTTTCTTCAATTTTATTAATGTAATTTGGGATACACTCGTCAAGATGCATGTAGAAATCAAATTTATCTTCGTTCGAATAGATTTCCTATAATTAAACATAATTAATCGTCGAAGTTGTTTTTGTAACGTTAATTTTGCTATTGTCTATAGATATAGGAGTTGTATATATTGCTATAAAAGGCGCAAATCAAATTTATCGAATTGATATCATCGTAAAAGATTGTCTAATAGAGAGGCATTCAGAATTAAATATTATTAAATATATTCGATTTTATTTTTTTATGTTGCTAGTGGCGCCATCGGTGGGAAATTGCCCAAGTTTGTCGAGAAATAGTACCAAATCGTTGCCGCTAGATGTCGCTAGTAAATATTTATATACCGAAATTGCACTTTATTCACCTAATCTATTTTACTATGTTAAATAATGAACTTGTAATTATATTACAAGCATTATAATATTAAAATTCGTTTGGCAAAATGATTTTTAAACGTTAATTTCTGAAACCAAGTATTACAGATTTTAGTTGTGGCATCTAGCGGTGACAAATGAGAACTATTTCTCGACAAGCTTGAACGTTTTTCCGCCGATGGCGCTACTAGTTGCGTTGTTTATAAAAATAAAGTAAAATAAAATTAAGTCGAATATAATAAAAAACGAAATCTTAATGGCTGTTTTAGAAAATCTTTTACGATGAAATCAATTCAATAAATTTGATTTGATATTATTTATATAAATAATCTGTCTTTATTTTATATTGTTCATAACATCAAGTGTAACTGCTTACATTCAATAAACAACTGACAGCTACAAACACTTACAATTTACAATTGAAATCGTATAACTAACATTTAAAGTATTAAAGTGTAATAAATGATAATAAGAAGTCAAGTTCTACAATATATATAGAAACATATTTTTACTATAAATTTTCTTCAACTTATTTATAATAAACGCTTGATTCTTATCGCTATTCATGTTTTTTTTTCTTCTAGGTTACCAAAATCTTGGTCTATAGTATATTTGTTGGTATGCTAACGAGGTGATATCAGTAAAACTTTGTATCCAAAGTTATTAAGCGTGAAAAATACTTAAAGATGTTTTTAAATCTATCAAAGAAAATATTCGTTTTATCCTTATTATCACCAGCCTTTTATAAACAGTAAAATTTCTTAAATAAGCTAACTTATTTACATGTACATTTTCAATAACTTAACAATCGTTACAATTCTAAAAAACTGTAGCATGATCTTAATAAACTACATTTCACTAGACCTACCCATTGTATCGAATTCTATTGCAATTTTATAACCATCAATTGGTTTCAGATCTTCAACTTAACGATAAGAAAATCTTGTGCCTTAATAGCGTACAACTATATAAATACAAACTTAGAGTACTTTAAACACTAGTAAGTTTTTATGTGCAACATCTAGAACAATGCCAATTTTCTTTAGACAGACCAGACATTCTCCTAGCAGAAGCCTTTCTGCGATATCAGTCTTCGATTTGAAAATGGCAACAGAACATAATAAAAATTTCAACGATACTCTTCTATACTTATCCTACATATATAGAAAAATAAACGTAGGTGTACGTTTTTCACATCAGTTTAAACGTTTCTTTTGTTACTTAATATAAGTAAAGTATACTAAACCCTTAATCATAAATTATTATGTTGCTCGGTGTTCTCAAATTCGACTTCTAACTGAAGTCTGTAGTCCATAGCTATGAAGACTAAGATCAGCAGCATCGGTAGACGAAAACGTGATTGCCATCCAAGTTTGAGCATAAAGATCATAGCTTTGTGAAACGTGCCACCGTTTCCCAAGAAACTTCTCGATGCCATTTTTTGCATAATTATAGCAATCATACAGAGCAATGTTGCTGTCGACGTCGAAAGATTAGTTCCCAACTGTTCGACGATTAGCAAACGTTAGAACGATCTTCGAACAACTTTTAGGGGAATATGATTTGCGTTTAGAACTTTAGAAATTAAAGTAAACACTTAGAACATGCTCTACTTTTTGTTAATATTCGTGGATGAAATATTGCGCAGTTGAGGTTAAATTTGATGAAACCTCAACGATATTTGTCACTGGAAACGTTTCAGATGGATGATATTTCCGAAATATTCGACTAACTTATCTTCGTCGAGTATACTTTGATAAGAATGGAATATTTAACTTCTCGAAGCACAACTGTCAAGCTGCGCGGAAATATGCATTGACAGATACTAGTTCACAAATCGGTGTTGTTAATTAAAGTATGGATACTGATGGATACTTCGTCGACTACTTGATACGCCTTTTCGTACTTTAAAGTGAAACTTCAAAGTAAACTTAAAAAAAAAAGCATTATTCGAATCCATTCTGCGAATTCTAGCTTGTAAATTCTATTCTATTAAATGTAAAAATGATTAAAATTGAAAAATGAAAATAATGCGTGAGAAAAAATGAAGCATTACTCCAATTACGTTTAATTTATTAATTAATTATGCTTTTTAATCGTATTCTATCAGACATTGAGAGAAAAATTTTATCAATTCTGTTCATACTTATGCTTTTTTGTAAAGAAAACATCTTGAATGTAAAATACATACTATATTATTTATTATTAAGGATTAATGTTTTTAGGTGATTCCTAAGAAAAAGATGTGAAAAGGTATACGTAAAAATCTGTCAGAAGAAATTACTGTTATATTTGTATATAGTTAAAGTAAAAATAATGCGAAATTGCTAATATTCGAATAACTGATTTAAATTTCGCGCTCGTTTTAGAGTCAACCTAATGGCCATCTACCGGTGAATATACCGAACTAATTTTCGGAGTGTGGTCAGCGCCTCTATCGGGAAAACGCTCAAGTTTGTCCTCGATTAGTTCCAGCTGCCATCGTTAGATGGCGCCAATTACACTGTTTTTACCGACATGATGGTAATTTACCATCCGGCGTCGGTAAATACCATGAAAATAACGCCATCTATCGGTGAAAACAGGAACTAATCGAGGACAAACTTGAGCGTTTTCCCGATAG